TTACCACAACTCATGTCATGGAGGTACTTTCATCATCTTGGATATTGGTGAAGATTTGAACAGTGTTTCCCAGCCCTTGCTGTATGTGCTTCATTCTCAACATGTCAGGAGTTGTTTTTACCAAAATGCTTCTGTTCTTTCTGTAGTTTTTTCAGCTGTTGCAAAGCTCTTGGTCCCACGGGTGTAATAGTGCTGTACTTCTGCCCAATAAGTAAACACTTAATAACAAACTTTTTAGGTATTTACAGAGCCACTAAAAATGTAAAAGATTTATTTCATTAATGCTGCTATTAACATAAACGTAAAATGAGCTTGGCCTGTAATCACCAACAAGTCTGACTCACTAAGGATCTGTACGACAATGTTTAATACTCTGTAAAAGTGTATGTATGAAAGTGATTAATCAAAGCACAGCGCTGCTTCTAGAGTATTTCTTCTGCTGTAAAGCTGAGTGATAAAATAACTTAAAACACACGGCAGTAGTGGCAGTTAATAAGGTTTTTATAGTCCCTATGTGGACCTGAAAATCATACGTTATTAGTATCTTTATCTTTCTTGCTCACTCATTCATTCTTACTCACATTTAAATTTAATTTTAAGGGTTATTTCTAGTCTTTCATAAGGGAGCTGCTTTAATAATCTCAGCAGTTTTCCCCATTTGCTGTGAAATGACTAGGAGTCAGAGCTTTTGTTATGTACTTTACAAATCACTCTGGTTTTTTGCAGATCATTTCTGGAGATGTCAAGATTTTATGACATTGTTAAGCTTTGTATCTTGCTTCACTGTGTCATAGGGCCTTCTTGAATTATTTCCTCGCAGATGTTTGCAATTCCATTAGGTACCCTGTTAGCTGCAGTGACACCTACTGATCTAGGGCAACTGAATTAAGCAAGAAATCCAAATTGCTGAATTTAGTCAGCAAGCTGCTTAGGGTTCCACCCACCAGATGTTTCTCCTGCTTAGAAGTCTGGGACTTTATAGACCTGCCTGCTTTTTAATCCTTGAAGCAAATATCAACACATTTGAGATCTGGAAGCTCGCGGCTCCACACAGAAATATAGTGTTGCCATGACCACAGCTTTAGGTCTTTCATATAAGACATTTATCCCCAGTATAACAGAGCAGATCTATAGGAGGTTTGTTTTAATTTTTATCCCTTGGAAGCCTTGAAAAGAAGCATACATATGCTTTAATGCTATGGCCGATAGAATGGTAATAAATACTGCAAGAAGTATTCATACATTTGGTTTTCAGACTTCATTCATTAAATGCTTCTAAGGGGAAAAAAAAATTAGTTATTTGCAGGGCACCTTTTGAAATTAATAGAAAGAGGATAGTTTCTCACTCTTGCACAGCGTGTTTTCAACTGTTGCACATGGGCTTTTCCCATAAGGATGAAGCGCTCGGAGATCTGATTGCATAAAGAAAATCCCTTTATGCTTTTGTTTACAGGAGGACTATTCTCTGAATAGTTGAAATATTAATTTTGTCAACTGAAAAGTATACTAAAGTTGTTAGGGCTTTAACGTACTTAACAGTACTTCCCAGTGGATAATTGAAGAACTGGGGCAGGCACTCAACCTGAGAAGATATGGATTTATTTCCTTACTGTCATTATGATTACAGGTGGCTTCATTTGACATAAATTGATTATGGATGGATATAAAATGAGAGGATACAGCCAATCCATTTGTTTTCTGATCGTCTACTTATATTTCTCCCTTTGCAGCATGAAGTTTTCAGAATAACAATTCCATCAGATACTAAGTTGAAGAGAATTATGTTGTGCACAGTATAGCAAAACAGACCTTTTAAAAATTTGTGCACCATACGTTTTTTCATTAATGTTTTTATTCTTCTGACAATAGTATTAGTATGGAAGACAGATTTTACCACAATCCAATTATTTGTTGCCTGGAGAACTGGAAACTTCAAAACCCAAAGCTATCCAGTTTTCACGGAATTTTAATATAGATTTGATTAATTCCATAGTATAATTTTGACAGTAGATTTTATCCTGTCCTTATTGAAATCACGAGAGGGCCTCACACTGAGGCCCTGATCTGATCATGAGAACATGATCAAACCCAGTTGGGCAGCAAGTACTCTTACGTCTTTTTTTCATTCCTATAAGCAGTAGAGAGCCATTAAGCCTGTAGTGCACAAACCCATGCAAAATTACAATGGGTGTAGTTTTATCATTGGAAGCCCATGGCAATTAGAACACATCAGTGAGCAGATGATAAATTTTAGGACAGGGTGTATAAATTCAGGCAGAGTTGATACTGGGTTTTTTGTGGTTTAATGCTGTCTACTCTTATGTTGCTTTTTTTAACTGTTAAATTTTTTGCTGCTTTTATTTTTTAATGTTTGCAAGATTTTTGTTGAGCTGAAAAATATATTACAATAATAATAAAAGAGAATGGATTTTTATGGTATAGCAATGTGCAAAAGAGGCAAAAAATCTGAACATTTCCCAAGCCTTGAGCTATATGCTATATACTTAGTATAACAGGTAAAAACTGAAAGGCTGCACAAATCCCATCTGAAACCAAGAATAGCAAAAAAAATCCCAAAAGTTGTTTTGATCAAGACCAACTCACTATTCCCAATTTATAATTACATTGGAACTTGCCAATTTTGTGGTAAGAGCAGCTCAACCAGCAAACAGCACTATTTTTTCTGAGATTTGTCATGTTGGCAGTTATTACAATCAAAATTGTCACTTTATTTTAAAATGTATTTCCCCAGTAAGCAAAAAATAATACCGAAACTTGAAAGGGATGTATGTTAAAGATTTTTTTTTGTTTTTACATTTCTCTCGAGTATGCAACATATCCAACTTCAACTCCCTGCAGCAATACAAAATGCCCAAGAATAATGTTTTCAAAATCAATAAATAGTACAGTTGAATATGAAACTCCACAAACCCATAATTGAAACTGTGGGAGAAAAGCAGGCAGCCTGAATATGAACAAAGTACCAGTGTTGGATTATGACCAAGATGCAAGTGCTAATAGAGCCTCTCTTGAGAAAACTGCCTTAAGGCCTTCCCAGCATGTGCAAGTGCTGGAAAGCAGGGGTGTTTCGGGTGCAGCCTGTGGGTGTTCATCCCCAAGCAATTTGTTGTTGGGCTGCCTGAAGTCTCTGTAGAGAGCAATATGTTTGGTTTCATCTAGCTTTTCCTTCTCACCTGGGTTGTCTTGAATCTGTGAGCCCCTCTCACTTTGTATCATCTCACTCTGTATGTACAACCTCTGTCTCACTCTTATGTTTCCCAACTGATACCTTCACTGCCACCACCACCCTTGGACAGGGTTTGTGGCTCCACAGTCTCTTGGGACTGCTAGAACTCAAGAAGCAGCAGCGGAATTAGTGTGCCACTCTATACTCCAGAAAAGCAAAAGCAGGGAAAGTCCCTCCTGTCTTTCTGGAAGCACTGAAATGAGTAGGGACCATAAAAAAAAGAATTGAAGGTTGGAGGCAAGGTGTATGTATATTTTCATCAAAGAATGTAAGACACCATCTATCTCTATTGCCACACATAAGGAAAAGGAAGAGAAAACCATGCACTGAGATATGACTCTTCTACTCCCCAGCACAGTCCATGGCAGAGCCACGGTAAAGCTTCTCAAGTTTTCATCTGTAGTATTTGCCCTTCTTCTTGTTAGCTCCACACACTACATGTCTTAACTTCCACGCCCATCATTCCCTTTCTAACCAGGTTCTTATTGTCTGGAAGACTTGCTGCAGAGTCCCTAAAAACTTCATTTGACCACAAGCTCAGAATTATTGATTAAATTCACAAAAAAATTGAATCATTAACTTATGAGCCTGACAGAGCATTTGCAAGATTTCTACTTTCGTCAGAGAACAAACTCAAGTCAGTGATTTACAGCTTAAGTATATGCACAGTAGTTTAGCTATTCCACTTGAGGCAGTTTGGGCTGACATGAAAAATAAAAAGGTAAAAGAAAGATCACCAAGTCAGTGCTGCAGAATTTCACAAAAGAGTTTGCAGGTTTGAGTCAGAGTAATTAGTTTGCAATGTGGTATATTTAATGAGGAAATCATTACTTTTCTTTACGTTGTAAAGCATGCAAGGACACATTAATTTTCATGGGAAGACACAGACTGATCATTTACTTGTGGAACTGAGAATTCCAAACTGGGGAAGAGAAGAGGTTTTTATACTTTTTGGCCCATAATTCATGAGCATATTGACATACTTGACCCCTGTATTCTGCCTATCTCCATCAGAAATGCAATGTAGCTTCCCAGTTCAATCACCTTTTTATAAGCTGCATAAAGCAGACTTACGTTACGCATATTTGTACACTGTATAGAACAGTGGGACCCCAAACTGATTGGGGTCTCTGGAGGACTTTCACAGCATAAATATTACGTGATAGTATATTACTAGGCTGACAGAAAAACCCAGAAGTACTTTTTAAAAGAGCTCGTATGAACTGGTTTCTGTTTTTGTACTCTCAGAATATAGAAAGATTTTATTCTTTCTGATTGCATCCTCATTTAAACAAAGTAGAAATCCTTAAATTAAGGCCAAACATGAGTGAGAGACAATAGTTACTGATAAGGGCAGAACATGTGGTCCAGTCTGAGTGCTGACTCCACAGCCACTGCAGATTACTTTCAGAGAGCTGTCCTGTGGTGAGAACCTTCAGTCGCTTTAAAATGTGCTGTATTAATAGTCCAGCTTCGCAGTGCCTTGCATTTCAGGTTTGGTGGGGCTTTTCAACTTTGTTTCAAGCAATACCTTTCAAAAGTACAAGGTCCAAATTGATTTGCAACCAGTCCTTCCTATTGCATATGGCCCATTTAATACTGGTAACTTATTTTGTAGTGTGGGAAATTTATGAATGACTAATATAAAACTCACAGTGTTTTGATTGCCTAAAATTTCTGTGGTTCATGATAGATAAGTACTGGTTTTTCTTCTAGTAATTATTTCCTCCTGTCTTCTTGATATCTTAAACAGATTTGGAAAGAAAAAAGAAGATAAAAGTGGGAAAACAGATCAGAAGGGGAATCCAAAGCAAGGCATGCTTAAAGAGGAGGAGCTGGAGAAAATGAAAGATGAACGTGAAAGGTGAGTAAATGGTGGAAGCATCTTTGTTCATCAAATGAAAAACTTCAAAGCAAGAGATTGCTTTGGACAGACAGCCTGGCGGGACGTGTCCCGGACCATGCCTGCTGGCATTCAGGTCCAGAAAAAGCAGAGCTTCAGGCCAGTCTCCTGGCCAGGTCAGGGCTGCTGTATGGCAGGAGCTTGTCTGTCTCCTGCAGTTTTTGTGCACTTCTGCTTAGTGGAGAAGATCAGTTACCAAAACCCGTTTCACCCCTGCCCATTCCCAAGACCAGCTGACTTTGTAATTTTTTTCTCTACTTCTCTAAAGCTAGAACCTCCTCCCTTCTCTCCTGACAGCCTCTGCTGTGTTTTCCAACACTTCAGACCTCTGGCTTCAGCTGGCTGTGCCATCAAATGGTAGTGTTGTACTTCGGTATGTTCTTTTCTGCACAGGGTTTGCTGGTTAGCCACATGTTGCAACAATATCTACTCAACAGATGATGAGTATGCCAAGGTACACCAGGAAGAAGCAGGTTAAAATGCTTAAAATCAATCTGAAGAGGCAGGGGTCTGCATGCAGTGGGGTGGGTGAAATAGGCAAAGCAAGAGCCTGGGTATGTACCAGCTGTGAGTTGCCATATTTCTGAAGTAAGGCTCTGAGACTGAGATGAAAGCCACTGATGTGAGAAAGCCCAGTTCTCTCTCTCATTCATAAAATACTCCTTTTTCATGCCCAATCATAGCAATTGCATTATCTTTCCAGACAAAGAGAATTTACTGTTTTCTTTTTTACCCATGTCTGCCCTTCGGTAACTGGGGACAGTTTGTAAGTGCTGACAAGGCTCAACAAACTCTTTTCTCCCTTTTCCCAACTCATCCAGATGTACTTCATGATATACTGAAGAAAGTCTTTGTTTTCTTCTGACGACTGCTATCAGAAAAGTTAAAGCGCCCATAAATGCTGGCTCACAAGAGGTGTCTGCAGTTGCTGTAAAACTTTCCAAGTTGTAGTAGTATGGTTTGTCAGGACATGGGAAAAGCTTTCAGAAATCTCTTTCCTTCACTGGAGCAGCCTGGTCCTGGGAGATGGAATGGAAGCAGATATGGTTCCTTCTGCGCAGGCAGGGTCTTTCCACATGAGCCAGCCTTTGTGGTGCTGGTCAGTGCCCAGGGAGAAGACACCCTGCTTTCATTTGAGTCATGCAGCGCATGGGCAGCTATATAAGTAGTAGTGCTAATGGGTTTGGTGGGGAAAAGAAATAAATCCAAACCAGAACCCTTGAAGTCTGCTGCTAATATTTACTGTTTTAAAAGCTAGTAAGGTATCCAGTTGCTACAGTGCTGCTACTGGATATGCTTAGCCAGTGTTTAAGTATTCAGTTTATCTAAGTTAAGTAGTGTCAGGAGAAACTTTGTGCCATTTGTCTTAAAATTTCTGTGCCGTGTCCTTCATTTTGCCAGATTGATGAGTGCCTTTATTTTAAACTGCTGACTCCCAATTTGGATACTGGCAATTTGAGAGGTATGTGTCCTTCATTTTAAAGAAGCCAGTGTCTTTTATTAGGATCCTGGCAAGCTAAGAAGCATGTATCCCATCTGTTAAAGGGCCAGTGTCATTTACTAAAATGTTGGCAGGCTGCAAGTAACGAACCCTTCTGTCTAGAGGTCTAACGTTCCAATTGGACACAAGATAATTGTTCTTAATATTTCTTTAGCGTTGTATGCTTTTTTTTTTTTTTTTTAAATTACAGTCACTGATTGACAGTAACTTGGTAAGGCTGCATAAGAAACTGGCAGCTCAATATCTTCATCGTTCTGGTTTCTCTAGTAATGATTTCAGTTTTGACCTGGAAGAGTTTGTGACTGAAATGGAGAACAGCAGGTGTGTTGAAGTGGATGAACCAAGATGGTATTTTTAACTCACTTATTTGATTCTTCTTCCATAATATACAAGAATAGAAATATCATGTTTTTAACAGGTAATACATCTTATATGTTTGGGGGATTAAAATTTTAAAATTTAAAAAAGGAAGCTAGTTCTCTAAGAACTGTTTGGGAAATTGATTCAAATCCGTGGAAGGAAACATTACCTGACTTTCAGGTAATTCAGTCCTTTTGCTTAGTTGTTGACTGTTCGTCTAGTGATGTGTTCAGTAAGACAGTAAAGACAAGTTTTATAGCTCTGTCCCAAGATTTAGTAATTCTATAATGTATTTCAAGTCCAAGATTTTAATGCATATATTGGCAAAGAAAACCTTGTAGCCCATCTACACCATAGATCTTCTGCTTCTATGACTTCACTAGCTGCAATCCTGCATACTTGGTCTCATATTTATAAAACCAAGCCTCACTGAAGCTTCCTAGAACATAGGCATAATTTCAAATCTGTTCTTGTTAAGAGTGAAATGAGTATACATTAAAACTACTAGGGATGCAATAGAACAGACTATAGAACTGTTGATAGAAATGTAGCATATTTTGTCCCCTGATACCTGTGAACAAATCCTGTATTTAACAGTTTGAACAAAACACAAATTACTTTTCTAACATTTAACCTTTCTAGAATTAGCTTAAACACGTACCTAATTTTACCTTTCCAAGATTAGCTGTATAAGTAATTCTTGTTCAGATCCTCAATCCAATTATTATGATCTTAGTCAGGTTTTTTTTGCTTAAACTTTTTAAAGTTTTAAATGCTGACTGCCTAAATATTTCAGGATCTGTCATACTAACATACTACAATTTTTCACCTGAGAGTGTTTTTCAGAGGCCAAGCTGTCCATTTTGGATGCTAGTGGAAGAGGTCAAGAGTAGTTGATTTTTGGGCTGGGTGTGACAGGATTAATGATAAAGTACATTTCAGCATCTTAGCAGCTGTGGACCTCGCATGGTTTTGGATGTTGGTTTTGCATGCAATATATGCTTGGCAGCTCTCCAAAAAACAGAATACTGTTCCAAGATCTCAGCTGAGAAATATTTTTCGGTAGGAAGTGCATTTCCAGTTTGCAGGAGTAAGCCATTTCTTGGAGTTTTGCAGAGTTTTTGGATTGGTATTGGATAGGTACAACAATATTTCACAGAATTCCAGTGATAGGCTTTCTGTAAAGGATTCTGGAAATTTTTGACAAGATTTACAGGCGTGCAGAAATGTCAGATGTGTTCACAATTATGGGTTGGCTACGCAGTACAAACTCAGTGGCTCTGACAGGAAACATCAGATCTTACGTAGGTAGGTGTGCTGCATGAGTGTTAAGTTCATCGTGCTCAGAGTAGGTTGGATTTCCTGCTTGCACAGCGAAGGATTTGTACGGTGCATGTGCAACAAGTCTGGCACATCCAGAATGTGTTAGAGCTAGTAGGCGTGTGCAGACAGAGTATACAGCACTCACTCTGTAGTGCAGATGCTTCCCAAAAGGATTGGACTTGCTGGCACATTGGTCCTCAGCACAGATTTGGCTGGCAACTCCTTTTATGGGCTGACAAGTGTCAGATTTGAACCTCAAAAAGTGAAAATAAATCTAGTATTTCGTTAGCCTAGTAATTTTTATTTCCATTTCACATTGTCCTATTCTCAGTTTTCAGTACAACTCTTTGTGCTGCCTTATAGCTGCAGTTCTCTGAAGCAGCTCCACATCCTGCACTGAAATGCTGACATCATTATTTTTTTACTGCTTGTATTCCCTAGCAATCTGCACCAAGATCAAGGTCTCATTGTGCTCGTTGCTGTTAGGGAAGCTTGGGCCTGACCCCAAGCACTTACAGCTGAGGTAGAAGAGAGAAAATCTGGCGGGATGGGGGGGGGGGAAGTGTCCTGTGGGTGGGAATCTAACATGCAGGCAGTGCAGCTGCTTGTCCAGGTTCCTAAAAAGTCCCTGTCAGGCTAGGAATGTGTTCCAGACCTCAGCCCCAGGCCTCCTTTCTTTTCAAAGCCAGTACTTTATTATATGACTACTACTTCTGCAAGCTTCAAGTGGTTAACGGGAACTTAGGACGTTAAGCATTCCTTCTTTAGTAATAGCATTATCTGTGTCCAATTGAATATGAATTCAGCACTTCCTCCAAATTTCACTATTTAATCCTTCTCTCCCTGTACCTCCCTTAGCTATCCTTGTGCCACTGTGATGCAATGTCACTGAAACTTGACTGGAGAAAGTCAGAAGTTCATGACACAGTTCAGGAGAACTGACTTAACTGCTGATACAGTTTTCTGAGGTGGTGGTTTGTCCTTCCTGACACAAGTCAAGTGGTCCATTGGATTGAGGCCCTATTTTAAATAAACGCATTGTTTTGTTCATGCTTCAAAGAGTTTGGCTGTAATAAAGCATGTGTTCCAAAGGTCTAGAATCTGCCCATAAAAGGAAAAAGCAAATGCTATGTCTGAGGTTTATTTTGATCAGGCTGACTCAAATCTGTATTTTTAGTGTGTTCTGTGTAAATTACTCAGAATTTATCATTTTAACAAGATGTTCACTATATTATTAAATACGGGAAGAGTTCCTCTCTTTTCTTTCCCTCAAAGGAAGATTTCTCTTCCTCCCTTTCTCCATCTTTTTCCCACTTGTTTGGAATTGCCTTTTCATTTTCTAACGCTTGAAAATCATTGTAAAACAAACTGGATAAATATATTAGGCACTTGAGTTTTACACATAATAGTTTGTTTGCATTTCAAATGCAAATAAAGTAACTATCAATTGAAATAAAGCTGTTTTTTCCTGTTTGGTTAGGATTATTTTACTGAAATATTCCTGCTGAGTCCAAAGTTTCTCTTCCATCGGAAGTGAACCTTTCTTTGACATTAGAATAAAGTTTCACAAAATGAAGTACCTTGTTGAAAATGCGGTGATTTTAAAAAGTGATGTATGAGTTGGTGAATAAGGAGGCGCTCTATGTAAAAAGTAATACCCTGCACTTGTTTGTAGGAGTAGTAGTTTGTTGTTTTGTTAAAGTCTTGGTTTTGTGATCCTCACTGGAATTAATTGAGGAATATTTTTTTTAATAGTATTAAGTTTTTGAGTAGAGTG